CGTGTGAATTACTTTTTTGGTTTTATTAAAATTTGTATATTTTTTTCATTTTGAATCTAGTCAATTTATTTCACAGTTTTATTGAATGGAACATTTCATAAAACACATGCACATCATCCCACTGAGGCTTTTAATTGTGCTATTGTTAACCACTATCTGCTGAGGGGCCACTTGTCGTAAATCCCACAACCGTTGTGGTCAGAGAAGTGGAAGCCAAAATGCTCTGTACGTGACACAGGTGGGACGATAATGGAGAAAAGAGGAAACTTTATCCACTCCATCTATTCATGGTAATTTGTTTTTGGCTTTCTCGTGGTTACAGTACAATAAAACACTTTTTTTCAAATTTAAAGTGCAGTTATCAGAGGTGGGCAGGAAATATTTGATGAAATGAAGAAGTCCTGTGTGGCATTGATAAAGAGCAATAACATTTCTTTCACTTGTAAGGTAGAGTTTGGAGGTTTCATGAAAAAGGGGTTATCGGTACTCATCACTGTGTGCAGAGAAAAGATTCAGACGACTGTCTCTGTGATTTCTGCTATGATTGTCTGAGCTATTTTCCCAGAAGTTGAGAGTTTATTTACTTCCAGGAACAGCAGAACAAGAGGGGCCATTATAGATCTGAACACTTGCTTTGACTGAAAAATGAAACTGCTCCCCCTCAAAAATATTCAGCTTTGTCACGTGTAGATCTTTGAAAATGCCCTCAGCTATTTTAGTGTGAGTATTGATTAGAGTCATTCAGTCTCATCAATATATTGATACATCATGTCTTTGTTTAGGTTGTAAACTGAACAATATTTTGTTACCAGGGTTAGAACGTAACTAAGTACAATTACAGATACTTGTACTTAACTTGAGTAATAGCTTTGTCTGACAACTGTAGTTCCTTGTAAGTTTTTAAGATACAGATTTTAACATAGAAAATGTAGGACCAGCCCATTAAAATAATTTTACAGATTAGGCCTCACCAGTACACATATTTAAATGTCTTACATTTAGACCAGCAACTAAAACAAAATACATTGAATGCATAAGCAAAAAATATTAATAGTTATAAAATAAAAATATGAATAAATACATAAGTCAATCAACCCAATGGAATAACATAAAAACATATTAATATATATCATGCAACTCAGCAGTATACATAATTATATTTCTATTAATTAAAATCAACATAAAATGGTAACATAAAACATTGTGAAAACGAGAATTAGGAAACAATTAGGATAAATATTTCTACTTGATTTTGTTGCTATTTTGCTCTTTTACAGTTTAACTGTAAAAAACTTGTTTTATATTTTATTTTTTGATTATACGTTTTAAATTATGAATGCAGGGATTTCAGGAATCAGAGGCTGGGGAACGTAAGGGAACATCTGTTGTATTATATTATATTTTTTATAAATTAATGTTTTTCTCTTGTTTTGCATCAAATATACACATTCTAAGGATCATGCATTTTCCACGTTGACCACAAGGGGTCAGTGTAGGCTATGACCTGAAGCAGCGAAGAAGAAGGTGCTAGCAGTGAGCACGGTGGCTTAGCAGCAGTTCAGCGGCAGGAAGCTACAAATCATCGAAATTATCTCCGCGTCGAATTATATTGATCAGAGAAACGTCTGGTTATAATCCAACATGCGTGTGGGCATGTTTACACATCGCTGCTTCGGCTAACGAGAGCGAACGGAATGGTATATCGCCAGCTAAGCTAAGCTAGCTGCGGCTGTAGCCGTTTGTTCGCCGCAGTCATGAGCGAAGATGACGGTTCAGCTCCGGCGAACAAAGACCGAGAGTCCACGCTGCTGCTCACTAAAGACGGGCAGAGGTACTACGTGAGTAAAGCCGGGGTGGTGGACAGCAGGAACGTGATAACGCCGCACGAACCGGACAACAACGCCTCCTCCTACGACATGGACGACCCGGACGAGGAGAGCGACGTGCTGGACACCTCGGACCCCCGGGACGGCGCCGCCAGCCCGGAAGAGCTCAACGACGAGGAGACCTCGGAGGGCGACAACGCCCCCAAACAGTGCACGTACGAGGGCTGCACGGAGACCACGACGCAGGTGGCCAAGCAGAGGAAGCCGTGGATGTGCAAGAAGCACCGCAACAAGATGTACAAGGACAAGTACAAGAAGAAGAAGAGCGACCAGGCCATGTCCAGTGGAAAGATAGATGTGAGATTAAACTTTGTTCATACTTTCATAACTAGAGAACTTATTGCGCAACTTCTTACAAACTTTAGTAAACTGTGGTTCGGTCCCAGTCAATGGATGTTTGTGTCTTTCTGAAGGAAAACTCTGAGGAGCGGCCGGTGTCTGTGAACAAGCAGCGACTTGGTGCCATGGGGGACCGACCAGCCAGACCCTCCCTGATAGAGCAGGTCCTGAACCAGAAGAGACTGGTGAGTCACAGTGGGACACTGATGGTCCCTAATGTGAGTCAGTAGAGCACATACCTCCACCAACAGTTCCTCATGTAACCACATTCAAATTCACTACATCCACATTTCTACTGGGATCTGCACTAAAACGCTCATAATTATTAACATCTGTTCCCTCAAATGTCTGATTTTTAAAACGCAGTGTTAGAGAAATTGATTGGGACAGGCACCACAATGTTCTGGGTTCTTCCCTGACCCATACCACATCTGTCTCAGAGATTTTACATCAAGGAGGTTATGTTTTCATTTGATTGTCGGGAGGATTATGTAAAAAATAATTATTGGATGCCGTGGACGGATGTTGTTTGGATCAGAAAATAAATCAGAAAATGTTGGTGCAGATCCAGATCACAGGGTGGATGTAGGATTTTTTTTTTTTCTATTCTTAAACATTTTCTTTTTAACATTTTCATTGATTTCTCTCAGTAAACTTCATGGATCTTCATGAAAAAAATCGGACATGTTTGGGGGACTGATATTTATGAGTGTTCGAAATTTGGTGCAGGTCTGATTAAAAATGCACATCTTGTGATTAGTGAATGTAAATGCGATGTAAAAAAAATTGACACAAGGCGTTATCTTCCCTACAAAGGCAGAAAAACACATTAGATCTTCAGAAATATTTATTGTTGCACTTTACACTAAAATCTAATTGATTGTGTGTGTTTCAGTCACTGCTCAGGAGTCCAGAGGTGATCGGTTTCCTGCAGCAGCAGCAGCAGCTCCTGGCCACACAGAGCCGCAGCCAATCACAGGGACAGTTCCAGGGTTGCTGACAGTGGCTGGTCACCGTGAACGCTGGCATTTGATGCATGAATGGATCGTTGTGATACTCAACAAATTCTGCAGGTGGTGAGACAGATCGACTGAACTCATCGGATCTAAAAGGCTGGACTAACCATGCAATCAGAACATGTCTTGTACTGTTTATGAAATATGATTCCCAAAATGCAAGATATTAGATTTCCAATCCATTATTTATTCCACATTTGGCAAAAAGAATCAAAACTCTGGATCATAAATGTCCAGTTAAAATTGCACAGATGTTTGAAAATTTGATCCTCCTGTTTTTTTCCCTTTGCTGAAAGAAACCCCCTGGACTACAGCCTTTGTTTGTTTGTTGTTGTGCTATTTATTTAGTGTTATTTATGCAGTGCTCTGAGGTTTTTAATGCTTTCCTTTGAACGTGTGTCCATCAGTTTGTGCAGTGCATTTCTGTAGCCTCATTTTTATTCAGATGGGTCTCCAGGAAATTTTAAACACAAAACTTTTATCATGTCCAGGTGAAGCATTCATAAAACAGTAAACTCAAATTGTGTCCAAAAAGGAATGCAAGTGAAGTTTGATGGGATGAATATTTGTGTGTTGAAAATTAAATTGTGTTCTGTTATATTCCTGTGTAGCTGAGGTGTGTATCCCCTGCTGTGAAGATGAGACTTAAATAATGATGCTAACAATTTTGCCTCTGCACCGATGACAGCCAGTGGCTTTATGTTTTCGGGTTGTCCGACCGTCCCTCCTACTCTTATGATAACTTGGACCCTAAGATGACCCGACAAGAAGTTGGTGGTGAAAGGTCAAGGTCACTGTGAGAGCTCACAAAACACTCCTTGTTAACACTTGAGGGAATTATCTTAAACTTGGCGCACATGTTCACTAAGACTCATGGATTAACTGATTCAATTTTAGAGTCAAAGCCATTTTTATTAGCCACTTGAATTCATATCTCATGACTGCCTTGAGGGATTTTCTTTAACTTTTGACCACTTGTCACTTGGACTAAAAGATGTTTAGATTTCAGTAGTCAAAGGTCACAGTGATCAATCTGGGGGAGGAAATTATGTAAACGGCAGAAACATACAACCACAGTGCTGAAGTTTTCTCTCTGTTTATATTTCAATGTGATGTTTTTGTTCATTTATCATAAGAAAACAAAGATTCAAATCTTAAAGAAAAAAAAACACTTTAATGGAATGAGGGAAAAAAGCAACCAGTACAGGAAGTCAAACATTACTCAACACTTATACAATACTTTACATAATACAGCAATAACATTTAAAAGACATAACACAAGTCTTCAGTACCTACAAATCCCAAATTTTCTGAACTTTGGGTGCAGTCAACATGTCCCAATGGAAACGGGGATAAATTCATTATCGTACTGAAATTAAAGAACACTTGAACATTCAGTTATACGTGTCTTTTCAGTCTTGCTGCAGGGGCTGAGAAAGCTGTAATATTTGTTTTTCATTTTGTGTGAGAGGTGAAGAGAAAAGGACCACGGGACAGAAAACCTGAACAGAGCGGAGCATACAGAATCTACGACTACCTGTGTGAAGGACCAAGAGTACGTGAGTGCTCATGTTATGACACGGAGGAAATGGGATTGTGCGGGGAGCCCATCTGTGTGAGGACCTTGTCCAGCCACTGCAGGGGCCCGTGCAGGTGTACCTCAATCCAGCAGGGGGTGCTGGTCACATCCTGACGGTGGTATTCAGCGCCCCAACCCTGAAGAGAGGACAGACCATGAAACTCAGCTGTTAAACCTTTCAGTCCACGTTGGGATTTGACAACCTCAAGGTCAAAATAACAAAATACAAAGTTACAGTGAGAATCCTAACACGTCCCACGTGCCTCATATGTTATATCAGTACCTTAACAAAGCTCATTCGAATGGTGCACATCTTGGTGAGCTCATAGACGACCTCAAAGCCGTGGTTGACGGACTGGGCCAGGAGCTGAGCGAACAGCTGGTTGTTGAAGATCTTGAGGCTGCAGCCGCTGGGGATCTTACACACGGTGGTGGCGTGGAAGCCATGCTGGAAATTACAATTACGGCTCTGGACGAAGATGCTGCTGTCGCTCAGACACTCGGCGTACACCTCTCCACCCACGTAGTACAGGTGCAACCCTGAGAGGGATGGAGGGAAAAGTCTAAATAGTTGCAAAGGATGAAGGAAATCAACAACTCGAATGTCTAGAAGCTTCTACCGTGATGCAAAAATAACAGTTAAAATGTCCAAAAGAGCATAAAAACAATAAAAAAACCAAGCACAGCAATTATCAGTCAGTCGCCTCAACAGGGTTATTTTCATATTCCACCAGAGAAAAACCCAATAGGGCATCTACGCTTGTAAATGAGGAATGTCGGAGTCGTGTCAGTAGCGTCTGAGTTGGGGACAAACCACCCTCAACCCTTTGTGTCACCCCTATCATAGAAAACCACACACATCCTCAGAGCACAGATTACTGTAACCCACAGAGACTCTTGATGTCTGTCCAACAAAAGCAGCCTTTCTTAGCTCTTTAACCAAGAGAGAAAAAAACATTATGTAGCCTGAAGGATTCTGTGCAGGAGGAAATAAAATTTGAAGACTGATTTTTACAGGAAAAAAAAAAACTTTCTTTCAGTTTCTGAAAAAACCCAGAATGTGCTCCGACATAAATTACCTGCACGAGCCTACCTTTGCCTATGTGTCTGCGTGTGTGTTCGATGGTGGAGTTGCGGTTGACGTTGGATAACAGGCCGAGGCAGAAGCGGTTCTTGTTGTTGGTCGGATCAGTGAAGCCGTCGACCAGGACGCTACGGGACGATGCGTGGAAAGTCTCGCCCACCCGGTTGTTGAGCTCGTAGTAAGCTATGGAACACCAGTACTCCGGCTCCTCGTAGCAAACAGGACGTAAATCTAGGAAACAACAGATCGGGCTCACTCAGAGGTGGAGAGAACATATTCTATCCTGTGCTGTATTGAACTTTAGAAACTTTATCATGGGGATGTAAAAATCCTATAACGCCACATTGGTGCCATTGATTTGCAACATTATCTGCAGCAGAAGCAGAGATGTTGAGGATATGAAGGAATCAATGCCTCAGTATGCATAAATAAAAACATCTCTATACCTGTAGAGAGATGTTTTTCTATACATATGTATATGTATAGTACCTAGCATGTCTACTTTCTTACCTGTGTGTGGAGCAGAAAAGGTAAGTTTAGTGGTTGCTGTGGAGTTGCCAGGCTTCACATCGTCATGAGGACTTGTCTCCATCATGGTGTACGGAGGTGGGGGAGTCTCAGCTGGGAACACATGTCACAGATCACATCGAGATGATAAATAGGCAAAACAGTTCATATTTGCACTGAGCTCCAGATAATCTGCTCTGGGGGACCTGTACGCAAATTACTCACAATACGGATACAAGACTCAGACAAAGATGTCAAGTTAGAAAGATGAGATTGGAGAAGTCCTGCTAAATTCATGTTATTTCTGGCCCCTGCAGAGGAGCAACCCCTCATTTGAAGGCTCCAGAGATTTCTGTGTTGTGAACACGTCTAACCAGTCTCCTGCTGCATTGTTCATATGAAAAAGGTAAACTCCGGAAAAAGTTAAGACCCAAATGTGCGGACATTTATGTCTGAAAACAGCTATGGAGTCAGAATCTGCTGCAGCCTGTTTGGTTTTGTGACAGATGTTTGAATAAGACAGCAACGTTTAAAAAGGTGTCAGCTTGCTTGTTTTTGCTTCCCTACCTGTGATGTGGTACGGGCTGCCCGGCTCTGCGGAGCTGTTGGGGGAGGTGGGGTAACTCTGTGAGGTGGGAGACTGGGCGAGGGAGGAAGAGTTGGAGAAGGAGGAGCAGGGCAGCGGCGGGAAGGAGTCTGGGTAAGTGGCGTTCTGGGGCATCAGAGGCTCGCTGTGCAGAGAGGCGTTCCTGAACTTTGCCAGTAAACTGTGCTGAGGGTTGAACTCGCTGTGGCGTGGGACCAGAACTGGTGGCAGCACTGAGAGGAGACAAGGGAAGGAAATAAGGAGGTAGAAACAAAGAGCAAGAAAGATCATGTTACTGCAAATCCCTTTGGCTCGGGAACGCCTTGTCGGATCAGATGTCCCGCCTCTATGTAAGAACCAATAAAAGCTTTACAGTTACCATATTACAATTCAACAATTACCTCACGTTGTAAAGCTAACTCAGAGGATTTACTTTGATAATGTTCATACCGGGAGTCTCCACGCGCCTGTAGTGGTAGGGGTTGACGCAGATGTCCTTCTGCTTGGAGCCGAAGGCGAACTCGCAGCACTCCAGGGCCTTCAGCTCGTGGTGCGACTGCAGGTCGGGCCAGCGCCACACCCGGCAATAGATGACGTGTGGCAGACCCTTCCTGTGGGACACCTGCAGCCTGCCGTCCAGCGAGCGGGGGATCGTCACACACTTGCCTGAAGGATTTAAAATGAAACGGCACGGACGTCAATACAGCTCGATGAAATGGTCCGATGCGTTTCATGTTTAAATCTATGTGTTATAATATATACCAGTAAATTCACCCTTTTCTATAGGTTGAAAATGTTTTCTACCTCTTGGGTAGTAGCTACGAGAATCAGCATCAATTCTGTTCTTTTGCGTGCGCGGCTTATTTACATGACTCTAGATATGTTTTTTTATCATGAGTTTATCAAAAATTTTAAAACATTTCAGAAAAGATAAAAAAATTAGAAAAATTCTATAATGTTTTTTCGACAAAAATTATAATTAGAAAAGTATAATTTCATATTTCAGGCTTTTATTACAAGGACTTCTCAGGAGCTGTTCATGACAGTTTCTTTAGTTTTAGTTTCCAGGTCTTGTGCAAGAACACATTGAAAAAAAAAAGCATCTTTCACAATCAAACATGTGAGCTCATATTTCACTGACGAGACCAGAGGCCGCCAACATTTTTATCTCACGACGTGAAACATTACTTTGCACCCCCTTGTTGTTGTTTGTTGTCCACCAAAGATTTTACTTCTCAAATTGTTAAATTTCAATAATTTTTAGAGGTCCAGCAATGTAAAGTATCGATTTTTGCACAAGAAACATTCAAACATTGGGGTAAAAACTATTTCATATCCTGTAAATCATCTGAAGACCCTTCAGGTTTATGTTGTGGCCCCCTGCATGAGTTCCCGTTAAGACACTGTGTTACTCACTGGGCTGCCCGGGACAGCTGAGTGCCCTCTCCAACTCCTCCATCGCCCCCTTCTTCTTCTTCAGCTTCTTCACAAGTGAGTCCACGGCCTTTTCTGCCCACTTCTCCTCCTCGTCACCTTGCTTCCAGCCAAGCAGGCGCTTCACAGCCGGGCTGGTGAAGGAGAACAGGGACGTAATGGAGTTTGAGGAGTTCATTTTGAGATGAATAAGACAGGGAGAGGGCCGAGATGAGCTGATGGGTGATGTTTAGGAGATAAAAAGTTCCCTTGAGGACAGTAAAGTGAGTCGCCAGGACAGCAAGGGAACAGAGGTGAGGATAATAGAGGTAGAGTCTGTGTAAACAGAGGCTTTTCTGTCTGTATTCTGCTGCTACTTCCGAGCAGAGCTGGTTGCAGGAGTTGGACTCCTGCCAGTGCAGCGCAAACCC